TCCACATTTTATTTTGAGTGGTGCACCAAGGGAAAAAGCATTAAGAAGAAAAACAGAATTTGATAATATTGTTGTACACGAAAAATGTGACTAACCGCAACTGCGGCGACTACATCCAGTGGCAGATATAGGGGGGGGGGGGGCGGGACCCCTCCCCTGGCCCCCTCCCCCAAACGGGTCAATTTAACCTTTTTTAATAAAAAAAAAGACGGGCCCCCTCTCTCTGGCGCAAAGGGGGGGGGGGGTGGTGTTGATTCAGCGCTAAATATTTTCTCACGATTTTTCTGGGCCTGCAAAGGGGACATAATACATTTAAAAGGGCATAATATATAAAAGGACTATTCAAGGAACACCTAGCTAGCTCACTGTCGTTATTATTATACTGCTATAGGATACTAGTATCACAAAAGGCTAGCCAAATTCCGGTCACGCACGCTGCAAGGCAAATATCATCTTCGGCAAATTCCCACACCATATAGTCTGATCTGCTGTGTAGAAATGAAGATCGCACCTAGTGTACAAACCTCCCTGAAACACGATTTCTTTTTATACTGCCCTAACTTGGCACAAGAGGATTTTCACAATGATTTTTGAAAACCTGCTGCTCATTCATCCTTATCAGCACGTATATGAAAATGGTATCATTAATACACAGTGTATCAGTTACCCTTTATCATGAAATTTGATTCACAGTCACATATGTTATAAGTTTTTGATTAGGAGCTACCAAACTTGGGTACATCTTTTTTTATACACAATCTACAGTGTGAGTATGCAAAGATAAGTATGACTCTATCCGCATACAGTTACATGCAATTATTATTTCAGTGATACATTTAATAGTAAATTTGAATCTTATAAGGAAAATAATGTTCTTTCAATGTTTCATTTAAAGTGTCAAAGTTTGGCTTCCAAATACATGAGCTTTCAGGATTATATTAAGAGTTTACACCATAAATTTTCAATATATGCATTTACAGAAACATGGTTTAGCAAAACGTTCCATCTATGTATAATATATTGGGATACTCTTTTTTACACAAATCCAGAACAACTCGAGTAGGTGGAGGAGTTTGTTTATATATTGACTCTAACTTAATTACAAAGAAAGACCAGATATTTCATTTAATAATGACGATATTGATTCATTATTTATAGAGCTACAGTGTAATTCTCATAAAAATGTGATTGCTGGTGTAATATACAAAGCTCCAAACTCGGATGGAAAATCTTTTAACGATTTATTAGATAAATGTTTGTCAGCTATTTCTAAAGAAAATAAGTACTGTTATATACTTGGTGACTTTAACTTTGATATTTTGAGACATTCTTCTCATTCTCAAACTGGTAACTTTTTAAGTGTCATGTATTATAATGGTTTGCAACCATTGATTACCAAGCCTACACGTGTCACGGCGTCATCCTGTACATGTATTGATAACATATTTACTAATGTTCTAGACAAAACAGTTTATTTTGGAGTACTTTATTGTGACGTTTCCGATCACCTCCCCATTTTCCAGTTGACCGAATTTGTTCGTATGCAGGATTGTACTTCTCATCCCACAACAAATGATTCATTTTTTTCTAAATTAAATTATGAAAATGTTTCAAGGGATTTAAGTCTAAAAAATTGATTTTGTGTAAACAGATGTGATGATACAAACTCAGCATATGAAGCATTTTTACATACACTGTCTGAGATATGTAAAAAGCATGCAAATGTTAATGCATCATTTCAACGGAAAAACAGAGATATGCCGAGAAAGCCATGGATAACTCAAGGGATTTTATGTTCTATCAATAAGAAGCAGAGATTATTCCGGAAGTATATAAAAAAAACCATCGTATAAAAACTGTTCATTATACAAAAGTTATAGAAACAAATTGAACTACATTATTAGATTATCAAAACGAAAGCACTATGCCTTTTTGAAAAAAATAAATAGAATCTTAACAAAACTTGCAAACGATTAATGATGTTTTAGGAAAAAATAAAAAGGTTAAACTTCCGCAATTTATCTCGAAAAATGGCAAACAAATATCTCATGAAAAGGAAATGGCTGATTATTTCAATTCATATTTTACTAATGTCGGTGCATCAGTTGCCAACGATGTTCAGTCAACATCTCACCACTTTTGGGAATACTTGAATCCAAGGACTTCGGAATCTCTGTTTTTTAATCCTACAAGTGAATGTGAAATTATACAGATTGTGAAGGATTTGAAATCTAGTTCCTCGTGTGGGTATGATGGTATAAGTACCAATTTTGTGAAAAAAATTATACATCATATTTCTTATCCTCTAAAATACATTTTCAATTTCTTTGTCCACAGGCGTCGTCCCAGACAACCTAAAGAGAGCAAAAATAATTCCTGTTTATAAAAAGAATGATCCAAATTTAACAAAAAACTATCGCCCTATATCTCTACTTCCAACTCTTTCAAAAATCCTCGAACGCATTATATTTAAAAGACTCTATAACCATCTGTCTAGAAATAGCATTCTAACAAAATACCAGTTTGGATTCAGACCCAACCACTCCACGGAAATGGCACTTTTACACGCCTTAGAGCATATTACCTCATGTTTAGATAAAAAAAAAGAATATACTTTAGGGATATATATTGATTTAAGTAAGGCATTCGATACCTTAAATCATAACATAATGTTACAAAAATTGAAAAATTATGGCGTACGTGGTATACCACATGACTGGTTTGTTAATTATCTCAGCAATAGAAAACAATTTGTTAGCTTTAAAGGTTTAAGTTCTGAGACAATGCCTGTGGTATGTGGAATTCCACAAGGGAGTATAATTGGTCCTTTGTTATTTCTGATATATATGAATGATATAATTAATACATCTGAATTATTACATTTTGTTTTATATGCAGACGATACCAACATATTTATTTCACATGCTGATAAAAATACTCTTCAAAATTATGCAAATGTCGAATTAAACAAGATCTCTTGCTGGTTCAAAGCTAATAAATTATTTCTCAATACTGACAAAACTAAATATATGTTTTTTTGTTCAAATAAGCGCCAACAACTTCACTTTGATTTTTCGATAAAACTAGAAAACCTTGAAATACAAAGAGCAAGCAGTATCAATTTCCTAGGAGTACAGATAGATGATAAGCTAACTTGGGTTAATCACATCAACTCCATTCGTGGAAAGATTAGCATGTCTATTGGTATGTTGAGTAAGCTAAGTTATTTTCTACCGCTCAAAACCATTTTCACTTTATACAATGCCATTGTCCTGCCTTATTTCGATTATTGTAGTCTTGTATGGGGAGGGGCCAGCTCGTGTCATTTAAACAGGCTACATACTTTACAAAAGAAAGCCATTCGTATATGCTCAAACTCCTATTATCTTGCCCATACCCCGCCGTTGTTTAAGAAACTGAATATAATAAATTTCTCTGATAATATAACAATTAAAACAGGAGTCTTTATGTACCGTTATTCGAATTTTTTGTTACCACCCGTGTTTGATAATTACTTTATTACAGTTGACAAGAAACATAATGTTAACACAAGACAAAAAAACAAAAAATTCTTGCCATGTGCATGTTTAAAGTTACGAAAGGTAAATTCTATTCAACAAAAAGGGGGGAAATTATGGAATAATATTGACAACTCAATCAAACATGTAACCACTCATAGTTCTTTCAAGTCGAAATTTAAGTTGCGTTTTCTTACCACATATATATGACTTCCTATGATACATACAATTACCATATTAATTATATCGTTCTGTATTATTATAGTGTTTTAGTTTGTAATGTCCTGTACACGTCTTGCATTTTGTTTTATTGTGAATTTTAATGTTTTGTATTTTCCACATTTGTCATTTATGTTATGGGTCCACCCACTTCTCTCAAGCCATCTGCTTCATCGGGTGTAAATGATCCAGCACAATTCTCAATGTATATATATTGAATGTGATTTTTTTATGAAATAATAAATTGAAATTGAAACAACTAAATATTCACACCCTTACCAATTTTTGTAATTATTTAAGTATGTGAAAAATTGATTTTTCCTTAATTACTTTCTTTTTAATGTAACATATTCAAACTAACATCTTATAGTATTCAACAAAAACCCTAACTTAATCTGTCTACCTTTCATTCTTGACTTACGAAAAGTACAAACAAAATCATCAAATTTACAAAAAGAGAATAATATAGTTGTTAACTGTAATTGCTTGGCTGCCAATTCCACAACACAGTCCGAAGGGTTGCAACAAGACTTGATACTTAATGGTGTCGAACGCGCATGACCAATCTGGCAGCACAAAAATGACTTCCACTTCTTTATCAAGAGATAAAAGGATATATTTCATTACTCGCAAAGGAGCAGTTTTACTATGAAACGAGCGGTAGCCAGATTTTGACTTTGCATACAATTGAAAGTACTCAAATGCTGCAGTAATTGAAATGCTGTAAGTAATTCTAAAGTTTATCAAATAACCTCAGATTTGCATTGGGACGATAACTGTTGTTAATCTTCAACATTGGTGGCTGAACTTCTCAATCTAGGTAGAATATTTTGCACTAAAGCTTTCTGGGAAAGTACCAGTCATGAATGAATCATTAATCATCTGTGTCATAAAGGGTAATAAATCAGCAAGAAATGTCATCATAAGTAAAGTTGGAACAGGGTCGAGTTCACATAATTATGTTGTTGAAAGAGAAGTAGTGGTGAACTTCGCCACTTCACTTTCAATAAAAAAGTTGCAAGTTCCTCAGAACATTCTACACTGATATCATCCACTGATGAGTGTAATTATTAAATCAGTAATCGACTAAACTTTCTCTGCAAAATACTTTATCATAGGGGATATATATTCTTAAAATTTTCTGAGTAAATGCATAATTTTCATTGTATCAATGGAGAAAGATGCGCAAATAGGGAAGGGGCTCCTTCGAAGATACGCCACTGCATTGGACAACTAAAAGATAGAAGAGCTGAAATGCTTTACCTGGCACCAGTGGTCCGAGTTTCCCATGGCAAAAACTTGAATCAGGGTGGTCCAAGATAATGGAATCACCATAAGACACACCAATGCGTACATTCTTCTCTGATAGGGGCCGAACTCCCCGAGAATAACGAGTATATCATCAAATTTCATCTTCAATCGCAGATTTTACCCCTGTTGGATATGCCTATAAAATACCTCTCAATTTACAATCAGGATTCAACTGAAGAAGGCAGTGTGACTACTGTTGGCAAATACAAATGTCTGTTCGAGTCTTAAATCATTTTACCGCGAACTCTTGGATATTCCTATAGAATACCTCACAATGTATTCTCAGGGTTAACTTGAAGAAAGCAGCGTGTACTTCTAGTGCGATCATGCATTGGATTAAAATCCTTAACGAGTCACTACAGCGTGCATGAACCTATTAAAAGAGCCATGACAACGAAATACCAGTGTATTCCTGTTGGTGTGCAGTCCTGCATACATCTCATATTTTGATATGTAAATTTCTGAATTTTTTTCATAGATTTTTAAATATTTTTTTAAACATTTTTTTTTCAAACTTGCTAAGCTCCACCCCAAGATCTCATTCCCCTTGTGACATCATCTGTCAGTCATCAATGAGCTCACTTGAGAAAGTGGTATGTATCTTTGCCGAAGTCGACCACCTGTTACAATACGTAATACAATAGCAACATACAAGTTGCTAAGTCAGACATGCTGTATCAGCCCCAGGAAGGCAAAGGCAATGATGATGTACGTATTGTACATTATGTATGGAAGCAAGCAATTCTATTATGAACGTGTGCTAAGCTGGAGGAAATTACATACCATTGTCTATTCTAGAATTATAGTTTAGTCTGACATGTCTGACATAGCAACGTATATGCTCATGTATGCAGGACTGCACACCAACAAGAATACACTTGTATTTCGAGGTCATGGGCCCTTTAATATATTGGACATGACATTGGACAGGACCCTGCTGCATATGGGCATGCACGCATCGGTTATGTCATGTCATATTTTGGAGTGATGGTGGCCATTTTCAGGTATTTTTCAGGTATTTTTGGATGACGGTCTCTGCCGAAAATGATGAACGCTTCATCAAACGAATTTTTAAAAAATGCGAAGTTTACCGAAAAACCTGTATAGCATATATAAAATTTCTTCTCGAAGGTCGGTTATCTATAGTAAATAAGAAGTTTATATGAGGAGATGTCTCAACTTTGGAACCATAACATTTTATCAAATTGTATCGAATATCACAAACACTAATACAAAGCGCTGAACAAAATTTGTGGTTTTAAAAATATATATTTTAGCCCTATTTGAAATGTTTATATGAGAGCACTTCAAGAGCAGTCCGTTTCAGGCGCGGATCCACGGGGGGGGGGGGGGGGGGGGGGCCGACGGGCCCGGGCCCCCTGGTTTTTTTTTTTTTTTTTTTTTTTTTTAATACAAACCCCCCCCCCCCCCCCCCCCCCCCCCCTACTGAGCGAGATATTGGTCGGCACGATTTTCACATTTTCGAGGTCAAATACGAAAAAAAAATTATGATCACTACCCCCCCCCCCCTCCCCCCCCCCCCCCCTACTGAGCGAGATATTGGTCGGCGCGATTTTCACATTTTAGGCCCCCCCTATCGGCAAATCCTGGATCCGCCCCTGGTCCATTTTATGGTATATCATAGGCATTATATAGAATTACTTACCTAACTCACAAATTATTTCCCTTGTCAACCAGCACTTCAAATTCTCTTCGATCGCACTATGCATAGATATGAAATTTATTTAGTGAAGTGTTATGATAAAAACTTCTAAAACACAATAAATATGTGTGGCTGAGTTTGCTTAGAGTTATCCTTCTGAAGTGAAACACGCGCTCCCGAAACTCCTAACATTATGGTGGCAACATATTGGCCATTAGCAAGACTGCAGTCATTTTTCTTTACAAAGTTTGATTTTACAACTGGTAGTGTTTGGGTCTCTTACAAATGTAGCTACACCACGAGTTGTCGAATTAAAAAACGATTGTTGGCAAATTATTGATGAAAGAAGAGGATCTATACCAATGGCAGATCCAGGAATTTCTTACCGGAGGGAGGGGCACAAATCGCATGAGGTGAAATATACGAAAAACGATGGAGCAAAGCGACAGAGCGGAGCGATCAAGCGGGGCTGGATTTAGGAGGGGTCAGAACCCCCTTCCTGAGTAGGAAGCATTTGCAACTTTAGAACCAAATCATGTGCTTTTTCAGGTACTTTCTGGAGTAATATTACGTAAAATTGATTTCTCCTTCCCCCTCCGATGGTAGGTATCTTTTGCAATTTGAGAACCACATTTGGCCCTTTAGTGTCCACCGGCACTTCAAAGAGGCCTTCTGATTGGTTAAAAGGGGTGTAGAGGCCACCAATTACCGACAAAACTAGCAACCAATAATATCGACAAATTTATTAAAGTATATATTCATTGATTTTAAAAACTAATGTTATTTTCATTATTGCAAAGTTGAAACTTTGATTTGACAAGGTTATCAAAATTCAATGCTTGGAAACATTCGAAGTAACGATTATCATAAATTACAAAACGCTTAAATACAACCCCGGCATAGCACCTGAAGAGCTCTCCGAACGCTGCTGAGATGTGTGAGATCACAGTATGGACATGCTTTGTACAAGCAGACGATGTCCCATGACATCTCACACATTTTCAGTGCCTGTGTTTTCATCTTCTCTTGAGTTCTTTCTCTTACTTCACCACCGTCTGGCTAAATGTATAATCTATTGCCTCACTCTAAACCCCGCGCATGGTTTTATTTTGATGACAAATGCAGCGATACAAAAATAAAGAATCTGTCGCTTGTAAAAAAAAATACACTAAATTCATTATAATTTGACAAAAATTAGCTTTGCAATTATGTTCATTCTTTATGGGATGTCGTCTGCTTGGGCAGTATTGGTCCATATAGTGACGTAATTAAAACATCGTTATATCTCTCGTTTATCCCAGCTGCTATGGAGGTGTTTGTATTTGTATTTTTATAAATCATCCGATATGTAGTTGACCTAAAACGTGTACGATGGCCACCTGTTAGCTTACCAGTTTCTAGTGATACATTAGTTGACATAATTATTTGTGATTTTCTTTGAATTTCACCTTTATAGTGCGGTATGGTATGTAATCCCGTAGGATTTTGTGCCAAAGTTGATTTTTTTTTCTCTCGCTTTTTTGGCTTCAAAAGGGTCCCAATTGGCCCAAAATGATAGTGTCCAAAGTTTCAGACCCCTCCTTCATTTCCTGGGGGGTCCTAGACACGGAGCCAGTGGGGGTCAACCTAGCTGGGAAGGAAACCAATTTCCATGTGCACAGATGTAAAGATCGCATAGCTTCACATAACAAATTGACCGTCTGGCATGTTCTAAGTGGTGGGTGTGGCCAGGGGGACACCCCCACCAAAGTGTCCCTTTTGTCGACAAAATAGTATTATGTAAATAATACTTTAAGGAAACCTTGAACCACTATGAGTTTGGTGTCATATGAAAGAGAGTTAAATTATCTACATTTTGATACCAACTTCAAAGAATTTTGGATTAAATAACATTACAAATTTAGATAAAAAACATGATTTTTGTGATTTTTTTTTCGAAAAATTTAATTTGATCAAAAAAATTATTTTCCATATATCGAAATTGGAGAATTGCATTTGTTCATAACTTTCCAGGATTTGCTTATGTACAACGACAATATCCTGTGCGAGTGATAGGTTTTATATCATTTCAATAAAAAGTTATAGCAATCCAAAGTTATTGATTTGATTTCCACAAAAACAACATTTTTGCCCACATGCGTAATAACTGTATGCATACAGTGTACATGTACGTGCATTAGTATAGGACCTGTTTGATGTGGTTACATCGAGTTTTAAAGATAACTTTAAACTTAAACCTCTAATCACCATGTATTTGGTGTCAAAAGATGGATAATTAAGATACCCTTATTCTGATATCAATTTCAATGAGTGATGTAGTGTGTGAAATAGATATGAAGTAGATATTCCTCTGATTTTTGCTAGTATATCGGTATAATAACTGGACAAAAGTGATAAGAAATTTAGTAGTGCAGAAAGTTCAAAGGTTTGGAGTGCTGAGTGTAATTAATAAGTACTTCTCCTGTACTCTGGGATGTTTCAGGAAATGTGGGCATTGGCAGTTGCCTCCCCCCCCCCCCCCAACCCCCGCCCCTTCCAGCCGCTTGTCATAATCTTGCAAATGCCCAAGACTAGTGCATCGATCAACATGAATATAATATAATATCGCCATATTTGGTTTAATGGTTTATTTTGCCTGACTACTTAAAGAAAACACGTGTATGCATGTAAGCAACCAATACTCCGCATAATTCCTATTGTGATAAGATTAGAATGACATAAACTTTTCTCAAAAATAGTTTCGGCTAGGTATGCAAATTTATTTTTTCTCTTGATTACAAGTAATTCGGTACAAAAATCGAAGGAACATTTTGAAACTACTTGATTCGATTGAATCTCAGTTTTAGTCTTTGTGTGTTTCTAATAGGAAGTTCCAGAACTACAATTGAGATCAATTTGAAATCTTTTCTGCTTAACCATGAAAAATGTAAAATCGTTACTAATTCCTTGAACTTCTAAGGATCTCACGATTTGATGATTGGAAAATGTCATTAGGTACCAGCTTATAATTTTGACAACACATCACCGTCTACATTAGAGTTCTATCATGCCTGTTGCATAAATCATATGGTCTTTTTGAACATGTTGCTGAAATGACATGATTTTCTGGGATTTTTTCTCTTTTTGGGAGGTAAATTATACTTTTGTATGCCTTTGTTGGAAAATGACAAGTCTCCCAAATTTACAATTAGGCAAAAAAATATGCTTATTTAAAAGCATTAATGTCAGGGCCTGCAGAACGGTAGGGCTCGAGCCCTCCTCACTTTTTTGAAAAAGTATGTTAACGATAAAAAGAAAGAAAGAGAGAGAGAGAGAAAGAATGAGTGACCTGCCAGTGTCACAAATGAGGTATCAAAATATGCTCTTCTGACCGTAATTAAATACCTAAAACCCCTGAGCTTCCGGGGGCTCCACAGCCTGGACCTCACCAAGGGCACTAAGACGGGTCCCTGAATGCTCATCTGACCATAATAAAATGCCTTACACGCTGAGCTTCATGGGACACAGCCCCATGGACCCTACTTCAATTAGTGACATGCTAGTGTCACAAATAAACAGGGCTCAAATTAATTTTTTGTCCACGGGGGCTCTTCCCCCCAAAAAGAGCCCCCGCGAGCCTTCTCACGGGGGCTCTTTTAGTACTGACGGGGCTCTTT